CAAATTAAATGCTACATATTCGATTTTCCCATTGATAGGAACTTATTGTATTTTCATTCAATGATTAACAAAAAATCAAAGTACTCTATTCCAAAACAAAAAATTCTATTTTTTACTGGCAAAGCACGAGCATTGTATTTACTAAGTAAATAATCATGTTTTTACATATAATTCTGACAAACTAATCCAAAACAACCCCAACAATCAACTATTTAGACTATTCTTTATTCAAGGACGAGAATTCATAATGTCATACGATTCTGCAATTTAAGTATCATTAATGTAAAAATTTTTAGATATGAGGAGGGCGTGTTATATAAAAATTCCTAATCATCAAATTTAAAGCGAATTAAGGATGATATTTCATACATTTTATAATGTAATTTCAATCATTGTAAGTAATAAGCTTTAATTTATTTACAAATATTGATCATTTTATTAGAAATCCAAAGAAATTATATCAAGAAAATCGATGGTGTGTATATTAAGATTAAATGATTCTACGATCAATTGTTTCCATGCATATACGTTAGGTGTTAATTAAAATGCTGATGGACGTTCTGAAAGAATTAATGCCATTTACATAACTTGAAATAAGATTTAAGATGATGTTCGCATTATTTACAGTTTAATTTGATTAAAGTAAATAATGCCGATTCATGTTTTTGATGAGTGACAAAATGAAATTCCAATCACGATCTTCAGATAAAGTAAATCAAAACCAATGTCATCAACTAATGAAGTAATTTAACACTTTGATCATCATGATGAATGTTGGGGAAGTTCTTTTAACAATATACACAACTATTCATAAACCAATTCGTGCACAGAAGTTAACAGCTAATCGACAAAATATAGTGTTTCATAATTGAAACAATATTTTACAGCTATTACGACCATATGCAGTTTATTTTACGAATACAAGCAATAAATTTCTTAACTCATTTATTGTTCATTTACTAACTGCAGCAGTAGTAATACAAGGTGGATCTATTACTTTAATGTGATATGTTCCATTGTCCAATACCGAACATGTGGCTACAAATCAAAAACAAACTCTGATAGAGGACATCATTCATTTGTTGAATTAGTTTATAATTCAAATAATAAAAATTATCTTTATGAAAGTTCTTTTTATTTATGCGGAAATTTAGAAAAATGAAATGACAAATTATTCTTTTATGGAAATATGAAGTTAATCAAATCAACACAGAGTTTTCTGCCAGCAAGACATGACTCAGGAATTTATAATAACCAACAGTCTAAGTAATGTAACATATTCATCATTTTGTAAACAAACATCAATTATTATTGAACATTAGAATGTGAGTCATTACATGGTAAACTCTTAATTATTGTAATATCTGCTAATGTTTTGTATAAGTGAAACACAAAAAACTGTATTATGGAACATTCTATCATGATGATCAATGTTCTTATTAGAAAACTGGTTTTTCTTGGTTTTGATTATGTGTGATGTCTTGTGAACGGGGACCAGGAGATGGGATGGATGGGTGGTAGGTAAAAGATTATTTCTGTTTGAATTTTAGTGCAGTAAATGAATCTTTCGATCGGTATGTAGGAGAGTTAAAACTGAGTTTGATATTGGGGGGAAAATTATTGGTTTAAATAATATATGTGTTGTTTTGCAGCTTGCTTCTGTGTTGTTGGTGCATTATTTGTGTGTTTTTTGGGCGGTGTAGTTTTCGTTCGGTTTTTGATAGGAAAAGTCTTTATGAGATCTGCTTTGGGGATTTTAGTAGGGCATTTCCTTTGATAGGCTTGCGTGATAATAATTTGCTGATTGAATGAAGATTTAGATAATCGAGATGAAAATTATGTTAATATTAAATGACACAATGGTAGTATGCGATAAGCATTCATGTCTTGTTTTGTATAGAGGGAGAGAGTGAAAAACATTGATATTTTTAGAGTATGATGCGGCTTGATTCTCGAGGTTAAGTTATCCAAAGGGAGTTCGATGTACATGTGTGCGGGTTATGAAGTTTATTAGTGGATGGAATGTAGTGTGTAGGTGGTTGCTTAGTGAATTAATGCGTGGTTATATCGGGGATTGGTGGCATTGCATGTGTTAATTTTCGAAATAGGTTTTCTTTTGTAAGGCATCTAAGATTATAACAAACTGATATGTTCAAATAAAGAGTTACAAATTCATATAATAGTAAGAATTTTGCTATGACATAAGAAAAAACTATGAAGCAAAAAAGAAAATTTAATTGTTTATTTCGAATGCTATATTATTGTAATTTCTTCGTATTAATAAATTGAATTGGACAGTTGTATGGGTGAAGATGATATGGTATCATTTAACGACTTTTTTATTCAATATGCTATATAATATGCTAATCTTGAAGTGAAAGAAGGTTGTTTTTGTTTTTGGTCGCGGGTTTTAGTGAGGTTGTGTGGAGTGTGTACAGTGTAATTGTGATGAAGTTGTTTGGCGTGTAGTCCTATTGCGTGGGTGTCGGATGGATTGTCGTAGTGGTGAGGTTGTGGTATTGTGTGTTTTTGTGTGGTGGGGGTTAGTAGTTGTCGGGTTGGGGAGGGTGTTGATGAGTTTGGGGTGGGGTTGTATAAGTGTGTGTGTGGGTGGAGATTGGTTTGGTGTTTGGGGAGGGTAGGTTGTTCGTTGAGGCTGTTTCACGGTGGTAAGTGTGTGAGCTGTTCTCGACGTGTCAAACTGTATGAATGAACTATGTTGTGGATAGGGGGAGGGCTCCGTGAGAAACGTGGGTGTGTGGTTGCGTTGTTGATGATAGGTTTGGATGTAATTGCCCTTCTCAGATGCATGTTGTGGTTTTGGTCGGATTTGGGGTTGTTGTGAGTATGGAGTTATTGGTGTTTCTTGATGTGCTGTCGGTGTTTGTTGGTGGGGTTGTGTGTTGTCGTGGTTGTTGGTGGGGTGTTGTTTGTGGGGTGTGCTGGCTGGGCAGCGGCTGGATTGGTTTGGTGGTTGATGGTGAGAGTTGGCCCCGGTTGCGCAGGAGGGTTTGGTGCTGTGGTTTGTAGAGCTCGATGTATGGTTTGTGTAGTGGGTGTGTCGGGTGTGTTTTGTGTTTGGACTGGTTTCTCAAGGGTTCATGGTGTTTGGTTGGTTGACTTTGGTGTTTGTTGTGGTTTAGTGTTTCATGTGTGTTTGTGGTTCTGTTGGGTGGGGGGGTGTGGGGTTGGGCGTTTATGGTATGGTATATTGGTTGTGAAGTGTGGTTTTATTCGCGTGGAGGTGTTTTTATTCTGGTGCGTTTGGTGGGTGGTTGTTGCATCGTATGTGGGTTGTTCTGTTGGAGTGGTTTGAGAGGGTGGAATAAGAGTGGTGGGTCTTCCCAATATCGATACAATCAAATTTATCAGTTTAATGTCGGTGTTTTATGGTCGGGAGGGTGTTGCGGAAGGGTCGTGTGGGAGATGTTTATTTCATGCAGAGGTGGTGTTTGGTGTTTGTGTGGGTTAGGTGGAGTTTGTTATGTTGTGTGTAGTGGTGTGTGGTGTTGTTTACTCTCACGGTGTTGTATATAGAGGTTGTTATGTTGGGTGTTAGGTTCTCTATTATTTATATTGGTTGAGGCTTGTTAATAAACCTGGTGAGGGGATTTTGCTGGTTGGAGAGGGGTGGCTTGTGTGTGTGCATAGGGTGGTTTTGTTAATATGTCTCTTGGGATGTGCTTATGCAAGTTTTTTGTTGGTCTTGGGGTGTTTATGTTGTGTTCTTTGTTGGGGTGGGGTTGGGTGTTTGCTTTGGTTGCTAGGATCGTTATGTTTATGGTATGTGAAGTATGCTGTGTGAGCGGTGTGTTTGTCTTGGTGTGGTTGGCCGATTTGTTTGGGTTTTGGGGATGGGTGGGTGGGTGAGGAGAGGAGTTATTATGGATGGGAGGTGTGGTTGTAGTTTTTTGTTTTAGGGTTGGGGGGTGTTGTTCTGTGTTAGTGGCGGGGTGGTTTTGGGTTGGGGGGGGTGGGCTCTTCTTAAGGTGGTGTGGTCTGGGTATGTGCGTCGTAAGCGGTAGGGTGGTGGGATTGTTTTGGGGGTTGTGTGCCCGTTTTTGTTGTGTGCGGTTTGGTTGGGTGTGTTGTTTTTGGGTGGCTGGTTTGTGTTCGTGGGGGTTGTGTATGTTGGGGGTGTGGGTGTTGGGGGTGTGGGTTGGGTTTGGTGGGGTGTTTGCGGGAGAGTTGGTGGTTGTTAGTTGTGGGAGATTGGGTGGTGGATGGGGGTGTGGTGGGTGTGGGGGGTGAGTTGTTTGCGTTGTTTGGGGTTTTGGGGTGCTGGTGTGGGTGGGTTGTTTGGGTTGTCGTTTGTTGGGCGTGTGATGTGTGTTCTGGTTTGTCTAGTTGTTCAGGTGGATTCTGATCAGCGGTTTGGTTGGGGCGTCGCTTGGGGTTAGAGCCTTTGTTTTGGATGTTTCGGTGTGTGGTTTGGTTTCGTGGTGTTCGTGGATGTTGGGTGGGGTGGGTGTCGAGTACGGCACTGGGGGTTTTGAGTGTATATGGTAGGATACATGTATTTTGGGAGGTGGGCGGGTTATATGTTGGTGGTGGGTGGTGGTTGGGGGGGTGTTGGTGGGGATAGGTGTTGTGGAGAGTGGTGTGAGGGGGTTGTTGGGGGTCTGTTTGTTTGTTTGCTCTGTAGGTTGTGTGTGGGGAGGGAAGGGGTGGTTGTTGTGTCCTTGTGTTGAGATGTTGTTTGGGTGTGGTTGGGGTGGGGGGTGGTGGTTGGGGGGGGGAGGTAAGCTGTTGATTGTGGGGTTTATGGGGTGTGGTGAATTCTAGTTTTTGGGGGTCGGTTTGGTGGGGGGGGGGGTTGGTGTCGTTGAGTTTTCGTGGGGGGGGTGGTGTGGGGGTGGTGTGGTGGTGTTGTGTTGGTGGGTGGAGTGTTAGGTTGTGGGGTGGTGGTCACTAGGTGGAAAATAGGTGAGTTGCTTTCAATCGAAGTTCTGTAGGGTTGACATTGTGGTGGGGTGTGGATGTTAGTGGTGGTGTTGGAGTTAAGCGGGTGGGGTAGTGTGGTTGTGGCGGGATGTTGGTGGTGTTGGTGGTGGTGGGCTGTGGGCTTGTTTGTGTGGGTGTTTGTCGACGTTGGGTTTGCGGAGGTGTTGGCGGGTTTGTACAAAGACTAAGTATGATGGTGTTTGGTGGGGTGTTTTTGCGTTTGGGTGAGCGTGGGTGTAAACTAGTTGCGCCGCATTTAGCGGAAGAAATGAGGAGGTGTGGTCGGTGGTGGTGTCGGGTTTTTGGGGCTGTGGAGAACTTGGAGGGTGTTGTTGGTTGTTGGTGGTGGTTGGTGTATGTGGATCGGAACCGGTTCGAAAAAAGTACAATCGTTTCCTCTCCGATTACGGGACGGTTCCAATGGGTGTTTTGGTCTATGTGGTGAGGTGGGGGGGTCCGGGCGTGGGGTTGGTCGTTTTGATTCTGTGGTTCTTTGTGTGTGCTTGTTGCGTAAAGGAAATGGAGTTGAGGACTCACTAATCACGACGTGGTCGGTGTTGTGTGCGTGTGGGTGTCAGGGGTGCTTGTGTGATTGTTGTTCGGGTCTCGCGTTGGTGGGGTGTGTGTGGTGTTGTGGGGGGAGGTTCTTGGTGAAATTGCGGTGTGGTTGTGTGTGTGTTCACGGGGGGTTTGAGATTGTGTTGGGGTGCTGCGTAAGGTTGCAGGTAGGAGGGGGTTGGGGTGATTAGGCTGTGTGTGGGAGGTGTGTACGTGTTGTTAGGAGTGTGACGGCGGTGTGTTTGTGTGTGGGGTGGGTGTGTGAGGGTTTTGGTGTGTTTGATGGGTGTTGTAGGGAGTCGTGTTTTGTTCGGGGGGAAGTGGTGGTTGGGAGTTGTTTTGTTGTTGGGTGTGTTGTTGTGGTAAGTTCTTTGGTGTCGTTAGGGTGTTGGGTATTGGGTGGTGGTGTCGGGTGTTGTTGGTTGGGTTGTGAGTAAGGTGGTGGGTGTGGGGGTGGTTATAGATGGACGTG